GCCCCCCCGCGCCCCCCCGACCCCCCCCCGGCCGTCGGGGCGGGAGCCGCAGCCCCGGAGCCGGGCACTGGCTGGCGGCGGGTCCGGCTACGTCGGGGCCGGGCTTTGGCTGGGGATGGAGGGGATGGAGGTGATGAAGGTGACAGGGGAGATGAAGGACCTGCCCCAGCCCCCGGCTTTTGTTTCGCCGGGGAGCCCGGCCGGGGTGCGCGGTGCTCTGCGAGCGCAGCCCCTTCCCCAGCGAGTTCTGCCCGGGCCAGGGACCCCAGCAGGGAGGAAACCAGCATCCCCCACCTTCCTCCCCCTTTTCCAGGTCTGTGTGGATGCTGCAGGGCGGCCCTTGAGCAGAATCGCCCCCAAAACGTCAGCGCATCCCCTCTCCCCTGCCCCAGTTGGCTGAGGGTGGCACTGGGACTGGGACCGTCAGTGGGACTGGGAGCTCTGGGCAGCCCCAGGTTCAGGACGCAGCTGACACGGGTGGCCCCGTAGCCACCCTGTTGGCCATGCTGGAGCTGATGGAGCAGCTGTAGGGCTTTTAATCCGCCCTGCAGCCAGAGCCCACCGGGTCCCCGTACAGCTGGGCCACATCCTGCTGCGTTCCCAGGCAGGACGTGGTGCAGGGGTCTCAAGCAAATCCTAATTTTCATGGTCTGCTTGTGGGTTTCTTGTCCCTCCTGCCCTTCCCTGTGATGAATTCCCGGCCCCAGCTGCCCATTTTGTTCCTGGCTCTTGTGCCAGCATCTCTCCTGCATCCTCCTCCCCAGCCCGCTGGGTTTCTTCTGCCTCGGGTGGCCCTGTCTGGGCTCAGGGTCTCGTGCAGGGCTGGAGTCAGCCAGTCTTTGTCCTGAACCAACTGTCCTCTGGCGAAAGGAAACCAGCGGAGCGTTGAAACCAAGTCCCTGGTCCTACGGAAGAGGAGGAGGAGTTGAACCCACTTGTTTTGGGATGGGAGCTGGGTGCCTGGTGGCACAAAGGGAGAGCATCTCCCTCTGCCAGAAGCTCAGCCATCCCTACTTGAAAATTAAGTTTTTGGCTGCAGCAGGTTTTTTCCTGCGATGGGTTTCTTGTGGTTCTTTCAGACGATGTGGGATGGAGATGTTTGAAAATGAAAGGTATCCAGAATAAGGGGCTGGACAAACTTCCCATTTCACAGTGGGTTCCCACCGTCTCCTTACTTGAGAAACTGGGAAACTGCCAAAGTGACTTCATCAGGCAATTCCCTCTTTGTCTACTTCCCCCCCACCCCCTGTTAAAAAAATCAATATTCCGGAGAAAGAGAGCAAAATCCCTAAAAATGCAAACTGGATTTCCAAAGCGACAACCTTCTGAAACATTTCCCTGGGAATACCGCGCTGGGAAGTGCAGGGAAGGGGGGAAGACGCCGGGCTCGCCTCTTGAACAGAGCCCCAAGCCTGGTGATTTGCTTCTGGGACGGGTTCTGGTGCACGGGACCAGTGAGGGCTGGGAGCTGCAGGCAGGGATGCCGCGTTTGGGACAGGTCCCCAAGGGTGGAGGGAAGGGAAGCCTCAGTCTGCAGCCTGGAGGGGTTTTGGAGCCGATCTGCAGCCGTTCCTGGGCTGCTCCCACCACGCAGAGCGGGCGCAGCCCCGCGGTCCCACCAGGACGCTGGCAGAAGGTGTTTGGAGTCTCCATCCTGGCTCAGCCAGACCCATCCACTCGTCCCAAAGGTGGTCCTTCACCGTCTTCACCCACCAGATTTCCCATCATCTGACAGACCCCTATTTCTCCACCAAAGAGTTAATTGGGGCCGCATGGTCCTCTGGGGATACGATGGCTGTGCGCAGCAATTAACACCCTAATCCAGCCCGCCAGCCCCATCACGCATATTAAAAGTGGGATTTTCCACATGGGGTGGACGGGGCAGTGGAGCCAGGGCTTGGGCAGCACACTTTCAGCAAAGCTGCTTAGATGCTAAGCTTTATTAAATGAGTCAGGTCCGATGACAGGATTTGGGGGGCTGATTAACATGAAACCCAGGCTGGTTTGTGCGGCGCGACTGTGTTCGTTACAGCAGAAGGAAACGAAGGTTCAAGCAAATGTGCTCAGGTTAGAAGAGCTCAGGCAGGAAAATCTCCAGAGGCAGCTCAGCAGAGGACCTTTACTTTCAGGCTCCCTTTTGCAACCCACAACGTGACCATCAGGGTTGAAGCCAGGAGGGGAGGGACCCATGAGTGGGAACAACCCCAAAATTGAATTGTTGGAAGCCCTGAGCCCTGGAAAAGAGCTGCTGGGCCCCAGGGAGAGGCTTCAGTGGCTGCCAAAAAAATTCAGCAGAAATTATTGTAGATAGATAAATAGATGATGGATAAATGGATTCTGTAGGTACCACTGATGGACAGAAAGCAGTTGATGCCTCTGGAAGATGATTTTGACCTCAGTTCCTAATGTCCTCAACATGTTGAGCGACTCTCCTGCTGGAATTCATTAACATCTCCTTGTCCCTTTGTTGCAGAGATCAGAGATGACCAAGACGTATGCCAAGGCCAAAGAGATGGCGGAGCTCGTGAGCACCCAAGCCTGGATGGATGACACGCTGAGCTCTAAAGATGAGCTGAAGGAAGAGGACGGCAGGCAAGGTCCTTTTGGATTGATGTCTGGCTTGAATGAAGAGCACGACAGCATTGAGGAAGAAGAGGAGGAAGAGGATGATGGGGAAAAGCCGAAAAGAAGAGGACCAAAGAAGAAGAAAATGACCAAGGCGAGGCCAATGCCCGGGAGCGCACGCGGATGCATGGCCTGAATGATGCTCTTGACAACCTGAGGAGGGTGATGCCCTGCTACTCCAAGACTCAGAAATTGTCCAAGATTGAGACACTGAGGCTGGCGAGGAACTACATCTGGGCTCTGTCTGAGGTGCTCGAGACGGGGCAGACTCCTGAAGGGAAGAGCTTTGTGGAGATGCTCTGCAAGGGCTTGTCCCAGCCCACCAGCAACCTGGTGGCCGGCTGTCTGCAGCTGGGACCACAGACCTTGTTCCTGGAGAAGCATGAAGAAAAGTCCCCGGTGTGTGAATCAGCCATATCCAGCCACTCCTTCAGCTACCAGTCCCCAGGGCTCCCAAGCCCACCCTACGGGACGATGGAAACACATCTGCTGCATTTAAAGCCTCCGACCTTCAAGAGCTTGGTGGATGCTTCCTTTGGAAACCATCCCTCTGACTGCACCACTCCCCCCTACGAGGGTCCCCTGACGCCGCCCCTGAGCATCAGCGGGAACTTCTCATTGAAGCAAGATGGCTCTCCAGACCTGGATAAATCCTACCCCTTCATGGCCCACTATCCTTCAGTCAGCCTGGCTGGAGCACATGGACATGCCTCTCACTTCCAAAACACGGTGCCCCGCTACGAGATCCCCCTAGACATGAGCTATGAGTCCTACCCACACCACGTGGCCGGGCCTCAGCTCAACGCCATCTTCAATGAATAGCAAAGCAGAGTTAGACCCAAATTCTTGACGCAGAGAGAAGTTCAGCCGCATCGTGGAGCTGCTTCTGGAACGGACACAACTGGAGCGAGGTTATTGCCACTACAGGGTGAGAGACTTCTGAGCATCTCTGCAGGACGTCGCTGTGGAAGGTTCAGCTGGCCCTCAGTCTTCTCCCATCAGGTCTGTGCTGGTGCCACCTTGCTGATTTCTGAGCTGTCCCCAGGAGCCACGTGAACCCTTCCCGACAGCTGAACTCTGAGCAGCCACCACCGAAAGCTGTGCCGTTGCCTCCTGCTCCCTCTCTCCCAGAGATGCTCGTGAAGGTGGCTTCACCCTGCAGGGCTTTCTGCCTGAATGCACTCCAGCACTTGGGATTGTCCATGGCCAAGACGTTACGGCTCCTTTTCCTCCCTCCCTGGGGTGCTGGGGCATGGGCACACCTCTGTCTCGCATCAGGTGGAGACAAGCCCCTCCTGCCCCTTGGGATGACCGGTTCCCCTTCCATGTGCTCTGATGGGGTCATGGTTTTCCGAGTCCAGCCATGGCCAGGCGGGCTGGCAGAGGTGGGAATGATCTGGACCACTTGCAGAAGACCAACACAGTTGCTCCTCCTTGAAGCTTCCCACCCAACGGAGAACCTTATCTTTGCTGCCACCACATCATCCAGGGACGGCATGGTCCAGCCAGGCTCCGAGCTTCTCCGTGATGGTCCCTCCGCTGCTCCTCTGCGCTGAGCCCTGCTGCCCGTCCTCTCCTGAGCCTCAGACCTCGCCCGTGACCTACAACCAGCCTGAGATTATCAGCACACGGATACTGAAACCTCGTTAAGGGACTGTCGATCTTTCAGAGCACAAATACCCTGGCTGGAAGAGGAGCTCTCCGCTGAACTCTTGCTCCTGACTAGGGCCACGTCTTCTTACGGTTTGTAGCGTTATTTATCACGATCTTTGTCCTGAAGACATCCTGCCAGAAGAAGTGTGTCTTAATTTCCTGTTTTATTTATTATTTACTGTGTGGTGGGGGGGTCTAATTTATTTCCTTCCATTTTACATGAAATGTGGAATGTGCTAAATAACCCCCTCATTTTCCAGTTGACTTCCAAGTGCTTAGTTGGAGTTAGCTTTGTGGAGACGTGTGGTTTTTGCAGTGCTGTTGCTCCAGGATTATTTATTAGCCATTATTTATTTAATTTATTTTCTTCCTGCCCTCACGGTCTATTTTCTGGTGATAAAACCAAGTATTTAACCAAGGGGTTACATATTTAATGTTCAACTACATATTTAACATTGTCATTTCTTGGATTTTGGAGGCTGATCGTGCCCAGCAGCTCCCAGCTCGTCCCTTGTATTTCTATATGAGCAATAACTTTTAAAGGCTATGCAACTATTTTTGTTTTCAAGAAAATCCAGGCAACTATTTTTGATGTCCCACTGGCCTTGCGAGCCCGGCTGGCCAAACCTCCCTGTTTTGCAGAGGTGTTTTGTATAGAGTTGGGAATTTGGAGATGACTTGAGCTCCGGAGGTCCCTGCCCAGCCCCTGGGTCCTGGGGCTTTTTCCCTTTTGTACTGAGAGCAAATGTTTATCCTTTTGTAAAGAAAGCAGAATTGGGTTTTTAGCTCAAATAAAGTTGTGGTCTTGTTTCAAGCAGCATCGCCCCAGGGCTGTCGTCTCCGTTTCTGTGATCTGCAAGACGGTGGTGGTGGGGAGGGGTTGGTTGGGGGGAACCAGAGGATCCGAAATCCCCCCGTGCTGGGGTCCGGCTGGGGTCCCTGACCTTGGGGCTGGGCTCCATGGGCTGCTGCTGGTGACCAGCACTGGCCATGGGACCAGCACTGGCCATGGGACTCCCTGGGAAGGGAAGGTCATCTCCAGAGGTGTGGGGTGGATGGTGGTGGGCTCGGCTGTGGGGCGAGGGTGGGTGCATTTAACATGGAGTTGCTGCTGGCTGTGTGCCGGGGCTCTGCCCGTCTGGCCCCGGCGTTCATGGCGTGCACGTCACGAACACGCGCGCACACACATGCAGACATGCATGCAAACATGCACATAGTCACACATGTGCTGCCCCAGACGCACACAGGTGTGCACCTATACGGGTGTGCCCATACAGGCATGCACACCCAAATAGCACACCCACGTGCAGAGAACCCTTTGCACGTGTGCACACTGACACACCACGCACATACAGGCTGCTGCATTGACCTGCACAGGCCTGCATGTGCACACTTGTGAGCAATGCGTAAATGCACACGGGGAGATGTGCACGTGCAAGCACACACACACGCGGGTCAGCTCCGCACCTGTGGCCGTGCAGGGGCAAGTGGGACGCATCCTGCCTGCTCCGCGAACGGCAGTGTCGTGCCTATGCAGGGGACGCAGGCATCCTGACTTCACCCTAAGCCATCGCCCCTGCCGAGAGCGGGGCTGTGCGTGCCCTGGCCCCCCCGGCACCCACGAGCCCTCATTTCCCAGCTGCGCTAAAAACCTGAAACAGCTTCTGGCTGCCATCGGGGCCTCTCCTCCCCGCGGCCCCCGTGGCCCCTCGCGCGGGGACCCCACGTTCCACGTGTCCTCGCACACCTCAGTGCCTCGCCGTCCCCCAGCCCCGCGCGCCGGCTGCTGCCCGGAGCCCCGGGGGGGCTGGCGGGGCCCCCGGCCCC